TTTTTATTTTCAGTAAAGCTCCCTCTTGTTACTTATTTTTTTGTTCTCGCGTAACTTTTTTTGTTCGTAAATCTGTTTTGCTATTCGTTTTTTAATTTGTTCTTGCTATTTCGGATAAGCTTTATGTTACTTTTTCAATTTATAATTTTGTTTGTACAAGTTTTATTTTGCTTTTCTACTCTTAATTGTTTTTTTTGGCTTCTGTTCCTTCAATTTTTATATGTTTTACTTTCTTGAGTTATTTTTTTGCCACTTAGAATCTGAAATGACTGTTGATATTTTAAACTTAATTTAACTTTTATTGCTTCAATTTAATGCATCTTTAAAGGTTTAATGAAGGTAATCAGCAAGAGATTCTAACGGTTGATTAGTTTTTTGGGTTTGTGCAACTTTGAGCTTTTTGAAGTGGACTTTCAACTATCAACGGAGAAATATCAAACCGAATAACTTTTGTAGGAAAGGATCTTCTTTTGAGGCACACAGCATTAAGATGGAGAGATTATACGTTTATAAACAATACAGTTTAACTAGTATCGAGAGGTTATGTTAGATTTGCCAGTAATTGGAGCAGTGCCGACAATACCCAAATCTACCCTGTTTATTTTTTTTCAAGTCAAAATGGTTTACATAATTGCATACATTGAACTACTCTAAGGGCACTGTTTCTATAATTGGTTAAGTACTTGACATACGGTTCCATAAGCTGTTTGAGTAATCAAGCTTAACATTACATTTTTGCATTTTATTTGTGCCTTCATTGTAAAACCAAGTGTTTAAGCACAGGTTCGAAACGTGTGGTTTGAAGAATAATTAAGTTTTTCGAGAACCAACTATTTAACCAGTTCAAGTAAACTTGGCACTTTAAAGTACGGAAAACTCATATACAGAGCGGAAAAAATTTGTTGTTACAGATTTAACACGCTAAAAAGTGAGTCAAATCTGGGACAGAAATGTTTTTTACTTTATACAGTCTTTTTATGTCAATTGTTAATGCGGGATATGTTTTGTTTTTATTAAACACTTATCAACACTACTGTGATGCATTTAGAAAAAAAAAACACTATACGTGTGCTTTAACGCACATATATTTACAATATTCATGCAGACCCTAAAGTCTTTTAAATAATTAATAAATTGGAGATAAAATACAACTTGTTTATTCGCATAGATCTTTCTATTCTACAGTACTGCTGCTTACTTCAACTATTATTATTATTATTAATATGATAGTTTTTGTTAATTTTATTAGTATACTTCCTCTACTGTAAGTCTAATTAACAATTTAGGATGTATCGGTCTGGTATCTATATGCTACAGATGACTATTATAATAGTATATTCGCAGACGGATTTTTTGAATTGAATTTTACTGGATTCATCCTTCTTTCCAAGGTAAGTAAAGGTAATATTCTGCGGGACGATAGGAATCTCGTAAAGTAAGCCAAAGACAATGATTGCTTACTGAATATGTATTTTCGAGTTTGTTAAGCGCATTGGACAAAGTTACTTTTTCTCATTTTGGACCATTTTTTCCGTTTGAACGTTTATAGCATCTTCCGGCTCGAGTCTGCTCATCACCTTGAAGGAGATGTACACCAGTGACGAAAACTACAATTTATTATTGTATCTGACTCAAAAGTGTTAGGCCAATGTATTCTAGAATACTGTACACGCAACTTTGTAAGTAAGGAAAAAATCTCTGATCTTGGAGACAGCATATTTGTTACTTTACCATCAGCTGTGATATTCAAAATAGCCATCTGGGAAATTTTTTAGTTTTTAACCATTGACACATGAGCTGAAACCTATCTTTGAAATATCCTTAAATTCTAACAAAGTTTTCTTTGGTATTTAAAAAATGTGTGTATACTATATATTACACTTGATAATGATAATTTAAAAAGTTTGCTGTAAATCTTAGCCTTGATGGTGTTATGATGTCTGTTACTTAACGCTTGCACTTTCTATTATGTGTAACTATTAAACTTTTCTCTTTAATGTTCCCCGTAAAATGTTTTTATAACACCGAAAGAAGCTTAAGGCTTAGAACTCATAATACGTAACAGATTAAGAAATAACTGTGGCACTGATACCTCTATTTCATAAATCTTTTGTCTTTTTAGACGAAACAACTAACAGAAAGGTAAAAGTTCCTCGTAAGGTAAAAGGTATTTATAAAATGTAATTCTAAATAGCTAAGAATCAGCTTATTCGTGAAAAAACTATTTTTAATGTTATAATGTTCGCTGTATATTTAAGTTAAAGTAACAAATAAACGGAAAAAAATGATTAAAATTGTGTTTTGCTTAAGTATACAATCTTTGTTCGATTGAAGATTATTGTGCACATGACCTAATCTATTTTAAGTACTAAGAACTTATGAAATTCAAGCCAAACATCACCACGCTATCCTTACTGGAATTTACAGCATACCCTCTGAATTTATGTCGTTGTAAAAATCAATTATAGTATGAAAGTATGAAAATGTTAAAAAATTTAAAGGTTATTGCCTATCGATGAACTCTTTTAAAAATTTTTCACATCAAACCTTAACTATCAGATAAAAAACGTTTAGCCATTATCCACACTAAGTACACAAATCTTACTTAGGCGTACTTATATTTACGTACATACTTTAATGCGGCAATATTTTTTACGGAACAACAATCACTTTTTCCCATGTATACAACTACACATTAAATTTTTTATGTTTTACTAGTACGTGTACGTGCAATGTAGGCATGTACTAGTAAGTGGTTCAATGCAATACAGAGATTTTCAATGGATTTTTCTCTCCAGTGGTGGGCTGTGCGTAAAATATATGTAATACCTTACAAGATTGATATGATGATTCAGAAAGTTTAACTTTAGACAGATTTATATTTCTAATATCAGAGAGGCATATCGTACGAAGTCTTATGGTACAAGAAATTTGTACCTAAGCAAATGAGCTTATAATGGCAACTGGGGCTTTTTTTCCTGTAAATATCACGACACTGATATATGGCTCTGCTACGGGTGTCCACTGAAGACATCTTTATTTGCCCCACCCACCCATCCTGTATATAAGTTCTACCAGTCGTCACTTCGACGTCTTGGTCAGATCTCTCTGTATACTATCGCACTCCAATCCTTTTTTGCCTCACGACAGTGAAAAATTACGCTAGCAAAAAGTAAGCCAGTGCTTGTGCGGTCATGCGCTTCCGTCAAATAATCACCCCCGGGGCTCAAAACATGACCTTTAGAGCTTCTACTTTAACCCTCTTGTTTTTTTCACGTACAGACCTTCTCTTGCGGACGCGCAATTTCACGAGCAATGCTTTAATAAAGGGAACAAAGCTATATCCAAGCAGTCGTTTCGGTGATTTAATTATTTCTTTACTTTTATACTATTTTTTTGTCATTCGCGTACATAAAGTATCCTTTCCACGAGTAAGTATATGCTTCAGTTGCGAACGCACGCTGATCGTATATCTGAATAGGTTTGTCGGTAAATGTAGCATATACTAATTTTATATTATTGTTACATAGTTCTCTTAGATGTATGATATTTGTTTCGAACATTGTTTACCTTAAAATGATTTTGTAAATCCCAGCCAAATATGAATTGTTAGCACACGTGTAGAGGCAACTTCAAAGGTTGTGTTAGGTAGGACATGCTTATTTTCTTTAGCGGAACAAGCTTTTGCAACTTTAACAAATAACGTTTGAGGCGAAACTCGTATAAATCATGTTCGTTGCTATAATGAAGATGCATTATTTTATTTTTACAACTCGTGGTGGATAAAATATGATAGGAATCATCTGACATCTTGTAGCTCATATTTGTACGTTGGCTTGCACGTCGTTGTTAATCGTCAATTATAAAACGTCATTGTTTTTTGCCTGGCAAAAGCGTATGACAATATATAGACAGGAAACAAGATTAGCCAAGACCGAGAATTTTAAAGAAAACGACCCATACCCATGTGCACGAAAATCTCGCAGTCCAGTATACTTTTAGCGTAAAGCACCATCAAAAACATTTGTGTAACGCTTAGTGTGCGCGATTTTTTCCGTGTACTCGTATTAACACGTGTACGTGCGTGCCCATGCGCACGTTAGTATACGCTCGTTATTAGTATGTATAGTGTGATACGTTGTGCGGTGCGTATGGCTTAAGCCTTGTCAATTGTGTTGCTTTTTTGTTTCGTTTTTTTTAAACGGCAGTAAGATATAACATACACATTTGAGCATCTTTACTTCATGGAAAAATATTTGGTAAATTCAACATTGCGTATTTCTTACTATGTTTGTGCGTGAGTGTGTATGCGTTTATGTGTATGTGTTGTTTGTTTGATTCACATTTTATAGCTTACATTTCTGCATTGAAATTATTTATTGACACTAGAGTAAACTGTAGTCGAAACAACAAGTAACAACAATGATGATGATGATGGATATTTATTCTACATGTTCTGAAAAAATAATGATTGAAACGTAACGAACAAAATACCGTAAATAGGCATTTCGTAATTGTTTGTGCTCTATTTCACCTTATTTCCATACTATAGTTTCATTCAAATCGTACTTATATGTAAAAATCGTGTCGTAAAAAGAAGTTAATTTGTGGAAATAAGTGTTTCGTGCTTTTCACGCAGTTTCAATGATAAATAACTGATTAAGTTAAAAATCGCGACAGCAATAAGCGTATCCCAATCGATGTGTATCTAATGGTATACCATTAGATGCAACAGCATCGAAATCAGTTAAAAACCGGCCGGCTCGCTGGACGGCCGAGTTCATTTAAAAAGTACTCGAACAATTGAATAGTTGCCCACGCGGTTGCATTGTGGGTGGAAAAGGTGTCTGAAACACCATAGCCCTGATTTTTGGCGAAGACTGGTGCTCATCCAAAACACCCGGAATATAACGTACACGTGACAATATCACAAAATCAAATTCAACGTCACCTTTGCCATCTAACCTGTTTCCCACAGGACTTGGAGCTTTTAAAAACTTGACATTTCGATTCTACGCAAGGCCTACCACGTCAACGAGAAAAGAGTAGCCACATCTAATCGTATATTATCGTACAAAGGATACGGCAATCAACAGCCGTTGGTCAATGCCACGTATACACAGCAGCCAGCCCAATTATCTCTGGCTCAGCAGAGTAGGTATTGCACAGGTAAGTCTCGAGACTTCGAGAAAAAAGGGATAAAGATAAGACGGGACAAAGAGGAACAGAGAGATGTACTGGCTGGAGCGTGTTCATGGTTTACGGTGCCTTTGCAACGGCCTTAGATCCTACACGCTTTTGTGGTTGAAAATATAAGAGACGTTGCTGTCTTGGTGGACAGGTGGGCCATGAAATCCTCGCTTTGATGAGTTGTTGTTGACGTAGTAGGAGGACTTGCGCATTGACGTTGACGAGGACATCATGGCAACAGTCTCATAGTAGTGGAGCTTACTGCAGCACTCGCCAGACTTAAGGATAGCCATAAAGCCACGCCGGTACTTCTTATTAAAGAATGCGTATAAGATTGGGTTGATACAAGAGTTGCTAGAGCCCAGCCACTGGGCTATCGGTGTTGCGATTGGTAGTAGCTCCTCTTCCCAGTCCGTAATTTTTCCTGTGTGAGAAAAAATTTTTTATAGTTATAAATTTTACGGTGAAATTTTTATTTTCATACTTTCATAATTAACCTAAGCTAGCTGTATCTTTTTAACATGTGACGTTATGGTCAATTTAGTTTTCTTAATTTATGATAGATGGATAAAAGTCATGTAAATTTGTATATCAAGACCAAGAATTTTTCTTTCAAAAAATTAATAAATAGTAAATAAATATGATAATTCAAAATTAGTAACGAACCACATCATAATAAGAAGCAACCGAATATCTTGTATCGGGACCGCTCACAACAGAGTACGTAAAGTACACTAAGAGAAATATATAATAAAAATTACTGTGCTAGAATGGTGATTTAACACTAATCGGTCGTCTAGAGATTTGTTACCATTAGACTAATAATTTTTAGTGTTTAGAACAGTAAATGTTGTTGTAAGTATAGTAATTTTTACTGTTTGTTCAATAGACATTACTTTCCAGAATGGTAACAGACGGCTAAATTTAGGCAAAAACTGCGTTTTTGCATTTACTGTGTAAAAAATTGGTACTGTTCGGTGTAGAGTTGGTAAAAAATGTACACATTCCCATGGAATAAAAAAAAAGCCTTAGAACACAATGATTATCGCCTTTAACTTTGCATTGAGTGTCAATAGTATGTATTCTGAACAAGCTAGTATTATATCGTTTTTAGTGATTAATGGCGTTAATTTTATCTTACAGACATAAATTTTAGTTAAAAAAGCTACATTTTTCCAAGATCTATGAGTTTTACGTTAACTTTATAATTTGAAATGTAAGTAAAAAAAACAAGTAAGTTAGATAAGGAAAAACGATTAATTTTCAATTATTCAAAATTTTTGCGATTTAGAGCCCAAATTTAATATCATAACTAAATATGTTTAATACAAAAAATTTGTATTTCGACAAGAACTTCAACAATCACGTTTAATTGATTATCTCAAGTGCAAAACAAAAAAGTTGAATAAGGGAAAACGACTTTTTAGTCATTTTACAAGCACTTTTTGGCTCACACAAAGTTTGGGTTACATCCTGGACAAAAATTTTAAAAACGAAAAAGTTGTATTTCAAGTACATCTAAAATTTTGTCTTTCACAGCAAACCTTAAAAATATCACGTTATAAAGTTGTAGCCGAAAAATAATTTTCCGCCCTCGGGTGGTTTTGGGAGGCTGGTACTTCCTTGGGCGAAAAAGCAGTTTTCCGGAACTCGTTCGAAAAGTCTCCTTTACGAACCTCGTTACGGACCTCGCCTTCGGCTCGGGCCGCAAACCTCTCGGTTCGCAAACAAAGACTTTTCAAACTCGTAGGAAAACTACTATTTTTTCACTCAAAGTACCATCTTAAAATGACTGACATTTTTTTTGTAAAAGAGGAAACCTCATATATTTTGAACCATCACGTAGGACATGAAAGACGAAGCTATTTGTCAAATTTCAGCCCAATATGACAATAATTGCATGAGTTAATCAAAAAACTTGATTACGCCCATACATACATACATACACCCCTGACGCTGAGTTCCGCGATCGCAATTTTTCCGTACCAAAACTTTTTTTACACAAAAACAAATAGTTTTACAGGTACTTTTACTTATTGCTCTGGCAAAAATATAAGGCACTCCTGAGTATTAGTCGTGCCTAAAAATTAGGTTGACCAACGTAAAAAGTCCCTAGACAGCGGAATGACACCAGATTACCATTCCAGCACAACAACTTTTATTACATTTTTTTCTCAGTGTACTTTATTTGTGTGCAGAAGATCACCAGCTTCAACCTTGATGAAAGTGTTTTTTTTTTTTTTTTTCAGAACAAGTTAAAAACTAAGAAATAAAATTCAAAATGTGGGCTGTGGTATAATGGTGTGCTGGAGTGTGGTAGGAACAAGGGCGGGGCAAGGGAGGAGTACAATTTAAAATCTATTTCTGTCACATATTTTCTTAAGGCCAGAATTCTAAAATCGTTGATTTACTCTAGCGCATAACGTGTCGATAGATGTACAACTTCAAAAAGAAATAAAAACTGGGATTGTTAAAATTTGGAATGTAAAAAATCAGAAAGGTTCTAGATAGGTAAGAAAAAGTAGAAGTACCTCACATTTTCTTACTTAAACTTTAAGATCAAAAGGTACTACGCCAAATTCCAGATTTCTAGATCATTCTCAGAAGGTTGTCGGTTAAAACGTATTTTTCAGTTTTATTCCAAAGTTTTCCACTTAGTTAGCAAAAAACGATTCAAGAAAATGTAAAAAAATGCATTATAAATGTAACAAATTAAAAAATTCTTTGTTAAGAGGATTAAAAAACTTACTTATCTATAGAACGCACATTATTTCTAACGCCGCGACTTTTTTTAGATTTTTTAAAGTGGTGAAACAGATCGAAGAAAATTAAATACCTTTACTATCAAAAAGTTTAAAAGGTAGTTTTATAGAGCCTTTTTTCATTTACTTGTCGTAGTAATACTGCTGAAGAAAACCAGTAAGGATTTTTTTTAGTAGACCTGTTTAACTTAGGCTTTAATTATGTTTAAGTGAAAGTTTTTGGTGTTAGAAAAAAAGGATGTTTTGTTTACAATTTTTTTTTTTTAATACCATTTGCTTAGAATTTGATCCATCACACCTATTGAGAGTCGTCTAGAGACCTGAATTTGGATATCAAGAAAACTTTTTATACTACATTTCAGTCCACAAAGTTGAAGTTAAAAAATTGCTTGGGCTACTTTTACCCACTTTTACTAGTTATGAAAAGGCTGTTAAATTTCCAAAAGCAAAAATAAAAACAGTATGCAAAAATTTCTTTTTTCACTGTGTCTATTTATATATTTCTTGTTGATTGACCTCTTAAAAATTTTCATGCTGTCTGAAACCTTGTTGTAATAATGAACGAAGTAGCGATAAAAAGTTTTAAGTAAAGCATTTACTTAAATAAAATAACACAACACTCCCTATTTAAAAGTGAGATTGCAGTGAGATAGAAAAAAAGTTAATAACATTAACTCCTAAGCTATACACCCACACGTATACACCCACATACGTCTGCATGTATGTGGATTTTGTTGTGTAATTCACAGTTGTATAAGTAAAAAAATGTCGAGAAAATATTTTGAGGATATAAGCATAATATAATTAATATGAAAACTTAGGCATGAAGTGAGATCAGTAAAAAAATTGAATAAAAAAACCAGGTATCAACGTCAAAAAAAGGCTCTTAGAGGCTATGTACGAACACTAAAGAATGCAAGTAGAACTAGTTCTCGCGTGTATATTTTTTCATCAATTTTTACTTATTTCCTTAAAAATACTTGCTGCTTATTTTCATAGATAGCGAAAAGTAAAATAATTGTCAAGTTTGAGGTCAAAAAGCTTAGACCAAACAGTCACACACAAGCTACTAGGTTCAAAAAAAAATTTTTTTAGTCTATTCAAAAAGCGTATTTGTTAATTGTTAACTGCATTGAATACTTTATTTTGTTTATCATACAAATCACTTACAAAAAAAATTCCAGGACACGTTTGAACTAAACTTACAAATTTTTATCAAAATTCAAAATTCATAAGTATCTTTAACTACAAAGCAACGTTATTGCTGTAAATAATTAAAAAAGGCCATCGTACTTATTGCCACTAAACGACTTTATTAATAAAGATGAAATTCGCAAAGTCAATAAATTTCTTAGCATTCTCATCAACTCTAATTGAAATAACTATGGAAATATTTTTTTAACCATTAAATTATTCAAACAGTATGAATAAGAAAATTACCGTCAAATTATACCAGAAATTAAGATCTTGCAAGTTTGCCTGATACCCCTCTAAAAATGAAACGTTGATGGAAAATGTATTTCTTTCTTACTAAGTTTTTATTACATGGTAATACAAAACCCACTAAGATTTTTTACAAGATTATCACTAAATACGCACACTGTGCGTACTGCGGCACAAGTATAATTTTGCTACAAGCGTTAAGCGTCTACTTGACGCTAATAAATAGAGGTAAAGAAAGAAGAGGAATCCTAGAAAAAAAGAAGTGGAAATAAACTTGTTTTGTTCTCGACCACTAAGCTGAGCTCTCCAACACGACGTGCTAGTGATTTCAGCCGTAGACGAACACGACTGATACTTGCTCTTATACGCAGACATATGAAAAAATCCAATGCAAATTTGCCTTTACGTGTCCAAAAATAAAATTGAAATTTTTCAAGGTATACCTTTGAAATGAATTTTTTCTTGTTCTATGTATACCCTCGATAACAAGGGAAAAATCGTTTACATGAACTTTGGGCCTTGTGACATGGTTTTTCATGGTACAGAAGATTATAATATTCATTTTTTGGAAAATTCTGTGCGAGCAAGGACTTGTACTGCCTTATTAAACCAGCTTTTCGTTTTAATTCTGTACAACATCAAGTGTCTTTCTTGTAAGAAATCTGTCTTGATAATTAAACTATACCTTATTTCACAACAGAACCCAATTATTAAGAAAGTGACGCTTATAATATAGTTTTCAACTGAAAAATATGCAAATAACCTCCATTGTATTCGAGTGAAAAAAAAAAAAACATTACAATCAAGTTTTATGTTGATAGTATTACGTCGGCGCGACGTACTATTCAAGTTTAAGCTTTCACTCAATAACTCGGGACACACGCTGGACACGTAAATGGGACACGGAGTTACAGGGGTAAGGGATAGTGGGGCAGCGTGAGTTTGTAGGGTAACTCGGGCACCTCATGTACTCAATGAAAAAATTAATTTTTTTCTCTCAAATAAATTTTTTTACATTGTAAAATATCAACACTATTTTCCTCAAAGAGTATCATGATAAAAAGTAATTAAATAAATTGTAAAAATTCATAAAAATATTGTAATACATAATTTTTACAATAAAAATTATCTCCAGTAATTATCTCGTAAAGTTTCTCCAACAGTCTGTTTGATTTACTTTCAAGATCCGTTGAAAAAAAATTTTTATCTTCCACCATTA